AATTAATCGTCAGAAAAAGATTGATCGATTATTTTTTGGCACTTGACGATTAATATGATTAATGCCACCAGGCAGAGTCCGCTCAATGCTCCTCTCCACTTAAAATATGATGAACATTGAAAAAAAGTTCTGTAATTTATTTATCTATCATCACAGTTTAAAATTTGATGTATAGCCTGAAGTCTGTAATTTTGACACAATTTGGAACAGATTTTTACAAAGAGCAAATCTTTCCCACTAAATTGGTCATGTGACTAGGACATAAGGATGTCCAGGGACTTCAGGGGATTAATTGTGAAATTAATCGTTATCTGCTGGAATGCAAGGTAGGTATAGTAAGGTTAGTACGGTACTTTATTTTTCAACAATGCATGTTCCCACAGAATGATAAAATTTGTGCTCTGATTTGACCCATCACGCGTGAGATGTGTCAAACTGTCCAACAATCCAATTTAAACTGACTTCAYTGTTCAAAGTCCCACACATACATAAACTTACTGTTTGTAATTATCATTTGAGTATGTGGTGACATGAGCTTCATAAGCATTAGTAACTGAATACTGGAGCTGCCCGCYTTTCTGTGGACTTATACGTAATTGGAATGACCTTGAGAACAACAGACAGGTCAGCAAAAAATGTGAATGAACAGACAGCACATAATATTATCCTTTGAACTAAATTATCACCCTTAGGCCTGAGGGTGGATGAATGATTGTCCAATCTTTGGAAGTATTACTGTCTATGCAACATTACTTCAGCCAATTGAGCATCACTTTATAATAATACGGCCATCACTCTGCCGTCTTACAAATAACTTAGATGAACAGAAACAGAAACATTTGCAAGTAAGTCTGATCCAAAGTCCATATCAAAACTAGAAATAATCATATTGATGAAAGTAGGTGGTATACTTAAAAGTCTTTGATTGGACCAACGATTGTCAAATTTCCCCAGGCCCCCTCAGCTCAACAAAATGGAAACAAAATTAACAAACTGACTTAAAACCAGAGAAATAAATAAACTTGTAACACAAAATTTCAGACAATCTATTTCTTTGTAATTTTAACATGTAACATTTTTCTTTGTTTCAATTAAAAAGCAAAGGTTCAATCAAACAGAAGAAAAATAAAAGATTGCTTCATCTGCTTTTAATTATTAAAGTATTCAATGAAACAAAATATGTTTTTAAAAGGAAATCATAAAAACTCAACAAATAAAACTGAATAAGTTCAGTATTATCAATGTTTTTATGGCTGCATTTTTTACTTTATTGTCTTTATAATAAACAACAAAACAATTTAATATGTGCACAACAAAACAAAACAAAACAAAACAAAACAAAACAATGTTTTTGAAGACTTGGACTGATGTTATTTAATGACAGTGTTGACTTTTATTCTTTACTTATGCTACATACAGATCCTTATTTTGTCTTACTGTAATTCCAACAGTAAGGTATCTCCTGTTCCTGTCTTTTTTCTTTGAAAATGACAGTTTTCCCATCTTTTAGTCATCAGCATGCAATATATCAGGGCTATTGAACTGGTGACCAAAGTTTGGCCCACCAATTGATTCATTCATCTCTTAAGACCAAACTCTCGAATTTCTACTTTAATTGCTTTAAAGGGCCAATTTTATGTGGTTTTCAGGCATATATTTAAATACTATACATTAATAAAGTATCTATGTCACCTTTAGTTGCTATTAAAATGCTGTTTTTATGTTTAAATAGAAAATAAACTTATCTTCTCATCACTTCCTCTTCTAAATGCCTTGAAATTGGCCTCTGTCTCTTTAAGAACCTCCTCCTGCTTCTGTCCCGTCCCTTCTCCCTGTCACTGTCACCCGTCACTGGGGGGGTCCGCGCGCACAGGGGTGGTTTGTTTTGCGTGTGCGCTATGATGCAGTTTACTTGGCATCTGAAAATACATTTCCTCAAAGGTATTTTGAATCTGAAAAGAGCTTCAATGAGTGAGAAGTAGTGGATCTCAGCAGACAGTTTCAGTTTTACTTTTGCTCTGTTACTGCCGAGAGCCTGCAGGAGTCATGGGCGGGGCGTGTGGGGTGGGGGATGGGGAGGTGTGCTCCGTGATGAGGAAGTTCGCTTAAAGACACATCCCAGGGGCGTTTCTGGTCCCCATCTGTCGTTTTCCTCATCTGCATGGCTGCCTAAAAACACTGCAGGGTTTCTCAAACATGCATGAATGAGTCAAAACATGGCTTTGGGCATGTTTTTTAGGAGAGTGTAACATTATAACATGATATAAAACTYAAAAAATGTTGATTTTACATGATATTGCCCCTTTAAGTTCTTATAGTTAAACATAGACATGTTTGGTATCTACAGAAACATCAAAAATCTTGGCTAGAAGCTATGCACACTCAAAACAGTCAAAATTACAAGCAGTTGAAGATAAAACTATGAAAGTGAAAATAAAATTGTTTTAAAAAATTGGCAAGACAGAGATATCAAAATAATATTTGTGTTAAATAAGGCATAATGTGTTCTTTTTGTTTTTGATATTGTCTAGTTATCACTACTTTTATTTCTGAATGTTGTACTCATGATTAAATGCAGCAAAATAAACTATTTCAAAAGGTAACAGATCTTTGTAATACTTGGTTTATTTACATAATGACTTTGCTGGATGTTCGGCCCCTAAGCTGTTGGCCTGCAGTAACTGTGACCCCTGGAGCAGTTTAGTTGAATAGCCCTGCAGTATATTATTACTCCATTCAAGAATTTAAAGTCAAAAGGAGAACAGCCTCCATGTAGACTGGTGCCAGTATATTTTTAAAAGTTTTATCCGTCCATCCGTTTGTTTTCTTCTGCTTAACCGAGATCGGGTCGCAGGGGCAGCAGCCTAAGCAGAGAGACCCAGACTTCCCTCTCCCCAGCCACTTGGGCCAGCTCATCCAGGGGAATCCCAAGGTGTTCCCAGGCCAGCCAAGAAACATAGTCCCTCCAACGTGTCCTGGGTCTTCCTCTGARCCTCCTCCCAGTGGGATTTGCCTGGAACACCTCACCAGGGAGGCATCCAGGAGGCATGCTAACCAGATAAGCCACTTCAACTGGCTCCTCTCAATGTGGAGGAGCAGCGGCTCTACTCGGAGTCCCTCCTGGATGACTGAGCTTCTCACCATATCTCTAAGGAAGAGCCCAGACACCCTGCGGAGCAAACTCATTTCGGTTGCTTGTATTCAAGATCTTGTTCTTTCGGTCACTACCTAAAGCTCGTGACCATAGATGAGGGTAGGAACGTAGACCGTCTGGTAAACCGAGAGCTTCGCCTTCTGGCTCAGCTCTCGCTTCACCACAACAGACGGTACAGCGCTCGTATCACTGCAGACGCAGCACCAATCCACCTGTTGATCTCCCGCTCCATTCTTCCCTCATTCGTGAACAAGACCCCAAGATACTTAAACTCCACCACTTGGGGCAGAACCTCCTCCCCAAACCGGAGAAGGCACCCTACCCTTTTCTGACTCAAGATCATGGTCTCGGCTTTGGAGGCACTGATCCTCATCCTGGCCGCTTCACACTCAGCTGCGAACCGCTCCAGTGAGAGCTGGAGATCACTATCTGATGAAGCCAATAGGACCACATCATCCGCAAAAAGCAAAGATGTGATCCTAAGGTCACCAAAACGGATCCCCTCAACACCTTGGCTACTCCTAGAAATTCTGTCCATAAAAGTTATGAACAGAATCAGTGACAAAGGGCAACCTTGGTGGAGTCCAACTCTCACTGGAAACAAGGCCGACATACTACCGGCAATGTGGACCAAGCTCTGGCACCGGTCATACAGGGACCTAACAGCCCATATCAAAAGGCTTGGTACCCCATATTCCCGGAGTACCCCCCACATGAGTTCCCAAGTGACACAGTTAAACACCTTCTCCAAGTCCACAAAACACATGTAGACTGGTTGGGCGAACTCCCATGCACCCTCCAGGACCCTGCAGAGGGTGTAGAGCTGGTCCAGTGTTCCACAACCAGAACGAAAACCACACTGCTCTTCCTGAATCCAAGATTCAACTATCCGATGGACCCTCCTCTCCAGGACCCCTGAATAGACCTTACCAGGGAGGCTTAGAAATGTGATCCCCCTATAATTGGAACACACCTTGTGGTCCCCCTTTTTAAATAGGGGGACCACCACCCTGGTCTGGAAATCCAGGGGAACTGCCCTCGATGTCCACGCAAAATTATAGAGTTGCATCAATCAACACAACCCCACAATATTCAGAGCCTTAAGGAACTTCAGGTGAATCTCATTCACCCCCGGTGCCTTGCCACGAGGAGCTTTTAAACCAGTGACCTCGGCACCAGAGATTGGAGATTCAGAACCAGGGTCCCCAGATTCTGCTTCCTCATGGGAAGATGTTTTGGTGGGATTGCGGAAGTCTTTGAAGTATTCTGCCCACCGACCCACAACGTCCCGAGATGAGGTCAGTAGCGCACCATCCCCACCATAAATAGTGTTGGTGGAGATTCAACTATCCGACGGACCCTCCTCTCCAGGATCCCTGAATAGACCTTACCAGGCAGGCTTAGAAATGTGATCCCCCTATAGTTTGAACACACTTTGTGGTCCCCCTTTTTAAATAGGGGGACCTCCACCCTGGTCTGGAAATCCAGGGGAACTGCTCTCGATGTCCACGCAATATTATAGAGTTGCATCAACCAACACAACCCCACAACATCCAGAGCCTCAAGGAACTTCAGGTGAATCTCATTCACCCCCGGTGCCTTGCCATAAGGAGCTTTTCAACCAGTGACCTCGGCACCAAATATTGGAGATTCCGAACCAGGGTCCCCAGATTCTGCTTCCTCATGGTAAGATGTTTTGGTGGGATTGCGGAAGTCTTTGAAGTATTCTGCCCACCGACCAACAATGTCCCGAGTTGAGGTCAGTAGCGCACCATCCCCACCATAAATAGTGTTGGTGGAGAACTGCTTTCCTCCCCAGAGATGCTAGATGGTGGACCAGAATTGCCTTGAAGCCATCCGGAAGTCTTTTTTCATGGCCTCTACGAACTCCTCCCATGCCCAAGTTTTTGCCTCAGCGACCATCCGAGCCGCAATCTGCTTGGACTGCCGATACCTATCAGCTGCTTCTGGTGTCCCGTAGGCCAGAAAGGCCCGATAGGACTCCTTCTTCAGCCTGACAGCTTCCCTCATCACCGGTGTCCACCAGTGGGTTCGAGGGTTGCTGCCATGACAGGCACTGACATCCTTGTGGCCACAGCTCCGGTAAGACACATCGACAATGGAGGTACGGAACATGGCCCACTTGTTCCCCACCTCCCCCAGAAAGTGTTCCAAGTTCTCCCGGAGGTGTGAGTTGAAGCTCTGTCTGACGGGAGACTCTGCTAGATGTTCCCAGCAGACCCTCACTATATGTTTGGGTCTGACAGCACATATGGACACTGTTATGCTTGAAAATGGTGTTTGTTATGGACAATACATGATGAGCACAGAAGTCCAATAACAAAACACTGTTTGGGTTCAGAATGTGTGTGTGTGTGTGTGGGGGGGGCTTCCTCCCAACTACGCCCCTCCAGGGCTCACTGTTATTGCCCACATGAGGGTTGAAGTTCCCATCAGGAGCGCTCTCCAGCACCCCCTCCAAGGACTCCAAAAAGGGTGGGTAATCTGAACTGCTGTTAGGCGCATAGGCACAAACAACAGTCAGGGCCGTCACCCCACCCGTAGGTGGAGGGAGGCGACCCTCTCGTTCACCGGCATGAACCCAGCATACAGGTGTAACCAATGTGTATTTTGGACTTTGTTATAATTACACAAAATGCTCTGTTAAGTTGTTATGCCTGCTGTAAACACAATGAAAAACACTGTAAATGTAGGCATGTGACCTTGTGATTGAAGCCCCTCCTTATTTCTTCTTCTGTGGTATTATTTTGTTAAATAGTTTATATCCCCCTGGGCTCCTCCCTTTTGAATCTTGTCCTGTGAGAGAGGTGGGTGCTATTGATTTTTCATCTATGTACATCCAG